CATCCTTCGGGATAGATACAAAATTTGAGGTAAAGCGCTCTTTCATCTAAACTATAAAAATTATGAGGTCAGTTTGCTTCATCTTTTTCAAAACCCAACTTTTTAAACGTCCTTCCGAAGCAGGCAACGGGATTTCAATTTCGATGACCGACAGCTTCTTACGGGCAAACCCCACACCAAAAATAGTGCCGACATTGGTCATATTCTATAATTTCGGACGTCATTTTCTACTGCAGCGGCACCTGAACCTGTTGAAGTTCAAGATAAACTACAGAAACACAAACTTCCATTTTATCTACGAAGCGGAAGGAGAGGAAGAGAGTTGTCCTGCCAAGAGTGAACAAGTAGATGTTAAAGTGAAGGTGTGTTTGGATTTATTTTTTTTTTATGTTTTTTTTTTAGACACTACTTCAGTTGTTATAATAATATCGTTTGTTGTTATGGTCTTCTTATTTTTATGATCTAGCAGTATTTTTGGATTTGTATGTTTGTTGAGATATGTTTGTAGAGATTTGGGTTTTGTAAAAATAGTGAATAAAACTAATGAATCCTTATTATGGAAGAGATATATGAGTGTTTAGGGCTTATTTTTTTATCTGTTTATTGAGCTTAACATTTTATTATATTTGTTGCAGTTGGGTGAGAGTGAAGCTATATATACTGAGCAAACAACAAATATATTACTTCAAATGATAGTCCACAATGAGAAAGAAACTTATGAAGTATATTGTACTTACGTTCATCATATTGGATTTATTATTCGTAAGGAGCACGCTACGTTTTGGCCTAACTCCAAATATATTAAGACGAATTAATTCGTATGTGGAAAAGTAGGTTTCAAGAAAGAACTGAAGATCATAGAAACTGTTAAATACAAAAGAGCAGACACAAGAAGTTGTTGCCCTGTAATGATTCAATATGCAGTTGACGAGGAAGACAATTGGACTGTCAAAAAATTCATTGAATCTCATAACCACTCATTAGCGAACCCTGGTGAAAAACACCTGTTGCGTTCCAGCAAATAAGTGAAGCCAATGCAGATGTGCTTAGGTGGATGACATAGTCAGGGATAAGATCTAAAGATGTATTTAAGTTTCTAGCCAAAGAAGTTGGGGGTGTAGAGAACCTGGAATGTACAAAGACAGATGCTTTCAATTTCATTCAAAGAGAGAGGAGATGTAGAATTGAAAATGGTGATGTCAATGCTTTATTGCAGTTGCTCGCAGAGAGACGTGTTGAGGATAGCATGTTTGAATGGGATTTTGAAACTGATGAGAGTGGTAGGCTGATGAGCTTCTTTTGGAACGACGAGACCTCCAGGCTTGATTATGATTGCTTTGGAGATATCATTAATTTTTATATGAGCTATAGAATAAATAAATATAACTTATGTTTAAATAAATATAACTTATGTTAATAACTTATGTTATGCTCCTATTGTTGGTGTTAACCACAATTGACAGAATGCTCTCTTTGGAGTCGAATTCTTGTCAGAGGAGATGGTGGACTCATTTAAATGGATTTTTCAAAATTTTATTCGTATTATAGGTGATAATCATCCAATAACAATCTACACCGATCAAGATTAGACAATGGGTTGAGTCATAGCAAATATTTTGTCAATTACATGACATAGATTATGTCAGTAACACATATACAATAAATTGCCTACAAAGGTTCATTACAGGGTGGTGAATAAGACAGTTAGTGAACTTTTTTATAAATTTTTGGGCAAATGCAAGTCTGAATAAGAGTTTGATGATACATGGGAGGTTATGATTGAGATTTGTAATATACACAGCAATGTGTGGCTAGATGAGATGTGCAAGAACAAACAAAAGCGGTCTACAGCCTTTAATAAGAATGTATTTGGAATGGGAATTTTATCGACCCAAAGAAGTGAGTCAAGAAATAACATTTGTCACGGTGTCTCAAAGCCCACTAATTCTATTACAGATTATTTTTTAGGCATTGAAAATGTCATGAGAACATGGAGACGTAACGAAATGACGAGGATTTCAAGTGTGATCAATATGTAATTTCTCTTTTCTTGAAAAGCAGCCCAATACTGAAACAGACAGCTGCATTTTACTCAAGGAAACTGTACACAATATTTGAGGAAGAGTTTATACATGGTTCACGTGGTCTTCAATTTCATGCCTCTTCAAACTCTGAAAATAAATTTTTCATTAAGAAGATGATCACAGAACAAACACTACTTGGGTAGTTAATTTCGACAAAATGAGTTTAGATATTCAGTGTAGCTACAGAAAGTTCTAAATGATGGGAATATTATGCGCACACCCTCTACGAGTTCTGAACTTTCTACATATTAGGAAGATACCCGATAAATATCTCCTATTGAGATGGTCTGAAAATGCAAAAAGAGATGTATATAATAGTTATAGATACATGCATCTTCAGCAGTCACAAACGTCAAATGATATTAAAGGCGACCTAATATTCGAAACACACATGCAAAAAATTGCATATCAAATTACCAAAAAAGTAAAGGGAAATCCAGAAATTGAGCAGCACATGAAGGAGTCCATGAAGAAACTGTCATTGGATATTGAAGACATATTGATTGGTAAAGGTTCTCAGGCAAGGAGACAACAAAATAAAAATAAAAAAATGGATGGTTCTTGAAGTGAAGGGCCAAATAAACGATCCTCGCTATCTTTTATTTCAAGGAAATAATCATAAACTTGCAATGCATTACATATAATCAAATTCAATCAAAGTATCACGTGAACATAACAAATTTTATGGATTAAGGAACTAAATAACTCACCTGGGCATATCTGAGCCTCTCAAAGGCTAGTTGAATCTTTACAGTATTCCACCTCATATTTGACCACCTTAGCATTTATGGTCTAGCCTCAAGCAATGCTGGGAGGGCTAAGAACATGTGTTCATAAAACCAGAGTTGTGTTAAACAAGATAAAATAATTCACTGTTATGTCTAAACTTATGAAAGGAACTTTTAAAAGTTATGTGCAGTACACAAATCGATAGAAGAAAGACAAAACCAATAATATAACCCAGTGACTGATCCTTCCTTATTTTCGTGGCACAAACATTCAGTGGCTCGACCAGAAATCCACATCATGTAGCTGACCAATTATACGCTGAAAAAGTTTCTACATTCTCGTAGATAAAAGACAATTCTTTCGACACTCTAAAGTTGCTTGAAGGAAAAAAGCAAAATTAAAATTAAAAACTTGAATAATAATTGCAAAAGATTATGAGAGGACTCCCATTGTAAAAAGTTTAGTAGTGCGATCTTTATATGTCTCGCATCCATACTACCAGGCGGAGCATTGCTCCAGCATACAGGAAACCCTCTATTGGGCATGCCTATCAGGAGTGGAACTTCATATGAATCAAGTTTGAGCACTTTTCCTCCCAAGTTGAATGTCATTCGATAAAGTCCCAACAATTTATTATATGCATCGTCGGAATATGATCCTGAGGGTACGGAGGGAGATCAAAAAATTGAGTCAAACTCATGGCTTCCAATTTATTCCATGTGTCATCGTCAACTTTTGGTCGGACCTTATCGATAACTTCTCGTACAGCAAATAGACAACATCTACAATTCATTGCTTTCGCATTTAAAAACCTACAAGATTACAGTAGAATAGTTTAGTATCAAATATATATCCGTTTGACGATAAAAAGTCTTCATTTAAAATTCATTTAACACCATTAATCAAGCTTTCCAAAATGAAGATCTCTGTTGACAAATATAAAAGCATGATTATTGTTCTTTTTAGGAAGGAGTTTTTAATGTATTAAAAGTGGAGTGGAATATAATGTGTTGACTAATGTGTTGACAAAGTTCTTCATAACCACACGATATCACCATTAACCAAAATAAATGAATCAGAAAACATAATCTAAATAATACTTCTAAATGGTTTAAGTGTGATTAATTGATTCATTGTCCTCCTTCTTCGACTGCTTACGACCACCCTTCGCCATAAGTGTTGCCTTCTCGCATTTCGGCTGATCAGCCTGTCTTAAATCCGCAACATTGGGCTCTTCCAAGGTCTTCGTAGTCGCCTCCTTATCTTCCATTTTACTCTTCCCTCACAAAAGCAATCTGAAACCCTAAACCCTAACCGTGAAAAGGAAAACGATGAAGGAACCCTAGCGACGTGTGAATCCCTATTTTTCGAATATGATTTCTTACTATGTTGGTTTTTTAATTTTTACCACGGGTTAATAGGTTACAAAGGGTTACATGAGGGTTACAAAGGGTTACAAGAAAGTTACACGCGCGGTTCCAGATCGACAGATTTAGAAGTCTGTTACATCGCAATTACATTCAAGTTACAAGAAGGGTACGCTAGATTGTTCCGCGGCGACGACTTTACAGGGAAGCTTCATTCAGGTTACATGTGTGGTACTACTGGAAGGTTACAACCGGGTAACAACGAGTTTACATGCGCATTTCAGGAGGCTGACCGCGGGAGGAATAGCTTACAATCGAGTTACAGTAGCAGGTCGGGTCAACGGGTCACGCGCGACAAAAAAAAAATTATTTATTTTGAGGTTGGGCAGCCGATGCAAACGTAGCTTCCTCCTATTAGCTATCGTACGCAAATATCCCTACAAAAGAGTGGAGAGAAGCAACTACTTCCGGACAACCATAGCAGGATACACCCCAGATAAAAATAATATATTTTGTGCTCACCTCAAAAATAATGATAATAAGGGCCTAGGCCGCCTTCTGTTAGCGCACGTTTGCCTCAAAAGGACACATTCCCTCACCATACTTCCCATACCGTCCGCCACCCGGCAGAGTACTTCGTCCGAATATACGTTCTCTGATATTCCATATCCCGTATCCAAATACGCTTACCGTTTTAAACTTCACCATTCCTCCCTCCACAAACGACCAAGCCGTGCGAGGCCATTCAGGATCAAATTGAACAATCTGTACAAATTTCAGAAGTCAGCAATGGTCACCAAAATCTCTCTGAATCCTCCACTCTGATACAACAACTGCATTAACTAAATCACTCTATAAATTAACCTTCCTTCATTTGTCTAATCTAATAAAAAACAATTCCAAATTACAAAATACTAAACCTTAATGGCAGTAATCCGAGAGCGAAGGCTCCCATACCAAACTCTAACACTCGAACTCCCGATCCCAACCTCCACCATTGCTGCCCGCCCTCTAGATTGCTGCCCGCCCTCAGTCCTAAATCCTCCCCCGCGGCCCTTCCTCTCCGATTTGGACAAGATCAAGATTCTCGGCCATGGTAACAGTGGGAATGTTTACCTGGTTCGTCATCGCCTTACAGGCGTCCTCTATGCTCTCAAAACTCTCTCCGCCAATGAATCCATCCGCCGCCGGCAGATTTCCCGCGAGATCGACATCCATCGATTTGCAGATTCCCCCACCATCGTCCGCTGCGATGACGTCTTCTCCACCCCTTCCGGCGACATTGCCCTGCTACTTGAGTACATGGACATAGGATCCCTCGAATCTCTCCTTCACGCTCGTGGTAGACGCCCCTTCACGGAAGCCGCAATAGCCGCAATCTCCCGTCAGGTTCTTCTTGGCCTCTCCTACCTACATTCTCACCAGATTGTGCACCGCGACATTAAGCCAGGCAACCTTCTCGTCAACGCCGCCGGTGAGATCAAGATCGCCGACTTCGGGGTTAGCAAGATTATTCACCAATCATTCGACACCTGTGTCTCATACGTCGGTACCTCAGCTTATATGAGTCCGGAAAGGTTCGATCCGGAGTCCTATGGGGGAAACTACGACGCTTTCGCGGCCGATGTATGGAGTTTGGGGCTTACCGTGCTCGAGCTCCGCCTCGGCCACTTTCCTCTGCTTTCTCCAGGGCAGCGGCCTGATTGGGCGACGCTGATGTGTGCGATTTGCTTTAGCGAAATGCCTGAGATGCCGGATACGGTCTCGGGCGACTTCCGGGACTTCATATCACGATGTTTGCAGAAGGAATCGAGGAAACGGTGGACAGTTGAGCAGCTTCTTGCTCATCCTTTCGTTGTCAATCGGGACCAGACGCAGTCGGGTCGGGCTTTCTGCGAGCTCATATCTTCTTTCCGGACGACGGAGTAATGTGAGGGAAAAAAAGCTCCGTGTTCCCTGGCTGTACATTGGACTCAGGTGGAATTTGGTAGTCCGCTACCTGTGGTTCATTCATTCATTCAAAACTATTCATTTGAAGATACATTTATTCTTTAAGGAAGGTACTCGTTTATTGAGGTTCTTTAGTTTACTTATGAGAATATACAGTCATACCACATAATTTTTGAACATTTACATGTCTTATTCTTAATATTTACATGACAGAAAATGTATATTCCATTTTTTAAATGAAATTTTACATAACTAATACCCAAAATATTGAATAAAACATTTTAATAACTCAAATTTCAAATATAATATTTTAACCATCTAAAATTTTAAATATAAGATTTTAACCACCCAAAATTTGTTAAAGAAAGCCATCACTAATGGGTAAATGAGTCATTAGATTGAAAAAAAATTATTACAATTTTTTTATTTAAAATTTGTGTAATTAAAATTTTATTCTTAATATTTTGGATCGTTGGCATGTAAAAAAATCCTTTTAAAAAGATAATATTGATGATATTATTCATGTAATATTAATGATTTAAGTGGTAGATATGTATATATGAATAATTAAGTGATAGATATGTAAATACATAAAGAATTTGGTTAAAGAATTTTATGATTTGTTTTTATCCTCCATATTGTCATATATTTATTTTAGAAATTACATCTTGTAAATCAGAAATTTATGAACGCATTATAAATATAAAGCAATAACTCTGATACATATGTGTTTGCACCAAAATTATCGACACAAATCTCAAAGCAATCGAGTGGCTCAGGATGATGGCTACACAATCGATGCATCAAGCTACAAGAACGTGATCCAAGTCGATCATTCAACAACCGACAGCTCAATCGGAGCCACCTGACACATTATGGTGAGGGATTCAACCGGTTAGCCATGCATACAGTCTCTGACCGCCTAATATTTTCGTAAGAGCGTCCGAACACACCATATCGACCGACCGAGCATTTACATCAACAGGCACGATCACCACAATAGACCGAATTCAAGCGCGTTCCCGCCACATTTGAATTCAAATTGTAATATAAATTTGATAACAAATTCTCACGATTAAATTGCATTAAGAATGGTTTTCATAACTATTACATTCTTTTTGTAATTGTACAAATACACATCTATAAATAGGAGACAAAAGAACAAATAAAGGTTCCTCTCCCAATTTCTCTGCGGAGAGTTATTTAATCACTTTACGCTCTCTCTCTCTCTCTCTCTCTCTCTCTCCTCATCCTCCTCTCGGTTCTAACTCTTGAGCAGTGTTTTCACAAAAAACAATTGAACATTCAACATTCTGAAAGGTGGTGCGGTGAGCGGGGACATACCCCAGATGAGAAGCGGAGCCAATTATGAAGAGGATTCCTGCAGAGAGAAACAATGCCCACAAAAGTCAACAGAGAGATGGCATGTCAGGACATACAGTAAGAGATACAGGCATTGCAGATCCAAATAATGTACCAGTTCAAGGGTCCTCAGATAGTCTAATTTTGTAGAGCGCCCGACCGTTGCCTGTGGAGGAGATTCTCGGGGAACCTGCTCCCAGAAGGCTCCCCTTGATAATCCGCTAGCACCCCACAGTTGCCCCAACGACCACCCAACTAAGTTACCAAAAGATTCTCAACCGACAGACACCATTGCATCCACGTCGATGTTCCTACATTAGATGAACTTAGGCAGCCTGTTCGCACAGCTAGCTATGGGTAGCTGATGCACGAAAAATCTATGCAATTTTAGACCTATATTTTGGACTCATTTTTTTTTGATATTACACTTTAAAGGAAGGTATTGTTCATGTTTTATTGCAGGTTGATTATTTTTAGCATTTAGAGCAAAAAGAAAGCAAAAATGATGGAATTTAGAGTCAAAATGACGTTTTGGAGAGAAATACTCAGTGTCGATGGCGCCAGTAAGGACGTCAACGACGCTAGCCTGAAGGAAGGAGTCTAGAACAGTGGGGGCACCAACGACGCCATTTTACAGAGAGCTCCAAATCAATTTCGGGCCACTGGCACCGACGACGCCAGCGTGGGCGTCGATGGCACCAATGTCGGTGTTGGGCGAATTTCTAGAGGATTAGATGAATCTGGATGCTTTTTGAAGAGTTACTTCACACATCTCTTGAAAAACCGACATTATGCTCTATTTAGAGTGAAAATTAATCAAAAAAATAAGTCCCTTAGTGTCTCATCATTTCCCACTATTGTTCCATCGTGTGTATTGTGTTGTGTGTTGAGTCTTGAGTCAGTTCTTTGAGTTTTCGTGGTGAGTTTAAGTGTGATTTCTCCTCTAAGAGTTGTTAGAGAGGGAGAGAAGTGAGAGATTTCTTCATCCTTACATCTTCTAAGAGAGAATCAAGAGTCTCGTAAAGAGAGAAAGAGACTCAAGAGGAGCTTCAAGGGATTTGCTTTGAGGAAGCGTTACAGATAAGTGGTATTTATTTATTATTATTGTATAAAGTTTTTTTTATTTATGAAATTCGTGTTTTGTTGTATCTTTTTCATGAGTTCTAAGTAGTCTTTTTTGTCTTTCTCCATACTCTAAGATATGGTGAAATGAAGAGATAATTTGAATGTGCCATTTTAAAATTGAAAATAAAATTGTGATGATTTTCTTTCACTCCGTTCTTAATTTACTTTTTGATCTGACCAATTGAAATGTTAAAATCTGTTGTGAAACATACGATCTAGGAAAATAAGTATGATTTCTACAACAAAGTGAGAATCACATTCAATTCCACAAAGGAGAGTTTCATTCATGGAATTGGGTGCAAATAAATGGGAAATTATACATTATTGGGTAAAGAGTTTAAGATTTTAGGGTGACAGACTAAAATCCCTAATTTGGTCTTAGTGTTTAAGAACTGAAGCAAGAGTTAGCCTTCAGCAGAAGGGAAGTGGGTGCTCTGAAGTGAGAGCTAGTATCCTCCCAACCTAACCACAAATTAGGGACTAAACCTAGGATTAGCCAAAGATTCTCTATAACAGTTGACCGAGGGTAGTGAATTAAAACTGCTCTGATTTGGCACAATACAAATTCAATCCATTTACTTCTCTCATTTAACTAAAAACTTATTGTAGTGGGAAAGATGTTTTCTCATATTTGATAACTTCGTAACAAAAATATAAAGATAATTTAATATTAATTTCTTAGTTTTGGTTTACAATTTTGCTAGTAGTTGGTAATTTAGTTATGACAGCACCCTAAACATTTCAAATTAGTGTAGTAGATTTTCTTTATCGTTGTGAATTTCCTGATTTCAATTTCCATTACAAGCTTACACATTCCTCGTGGGATCGATATTTGGGGCTTAATCAGAAAGTATTGTATTACTTGATAACGATACGTTTACTTGCGTAGAATCCCAACATTAATTACTTCAATTTCTTATTCATAAATAACGAATCAAGTTTTCACATTGTTGCAAAGAGGAGTCAACTTCACTAATTTTACACATCTATAATTTGACAATCAAGTTTTTGGCGCCATATAATTTCTGGATAAAGTTTTTGGCACCGTTTTCGGGAAAGGTAACGATAAATTAAATAAATTTGGTAAATTAGGTAAATTAGGAAATTTATATAAAAAAAATTAAAAATTGTGAAATTTATAGATAAAGATATATATATATATATATATATATATAATTGATAATAATAATAATAATAATAATAATCAAAAAAATAAAAAAATCATAAATTATAAAAAAAATTAACAAAAACTTAGGAGTATTTTTAAAAGTTTTTACTATTGCTTATTATTTTTTTTATGCGTAGTATTGGATCCAAAGGTTTAGTACCATACGATTCAAAGTTAGAACTTATTATTAGAAAAATTCAAAAGCATCAAAAAGAAATTAAAAATTTGAACAAAATTGTGAATAACTTAGATTATCAAATAAATGAAAATGAAAATCGACAAAGTCCTTTAAGAAATTATGTTAATCCTACAGCAGATGAACTTCACTTGACTATTCAAAATCCTGATGTTGCTGCTACTTCACTTGAGCTTAAACCTAATATTATCCAAATGGTACAAAATAATCAATTTGGAATAACACCTACTGAAGATCCAAACTTACATTTTACTAATTTTCTAGAAATATGTGCTACTTTTAAATATGATGGAGTGTCTAATAATGCTACCAGGCTTAGAATTTTTTATTTTTCATTAAAGGACAAAGCTAAAGCTTGGTTAAAAAAGCTTGGTTAAATTCGAAAGCTTGGTTAAATTCGTTAGCACCTGGATTTATCAGAATTTGGGGAGAACTATCACAAAAATTTTTGGCTAAATATTTCCACCCTAAAAAATTGCCAAGCTTAGAAACGATATTACATCTTTTTGTCAGTTCGAAGGGGAATCAATATTTGAAGCTTGGAAAAGATTTAAGGATCTCATTTGAAGGTGTCCACACCATGCTTTATTAGATTAGTTAATAATTCAAACTTTTTACAATGGATTAGTAGGATCATTTAGATCTATTATAGATGCTGTTGCAGGTGGATCATTAATGTCAAAACTTTTCGATGAAGCTTATTCTTTAATAGAGGAGATGGCTACTAATAATTTTTAATGGCCCTCTGAATGGATAAATCCAAATAGAGTAGATAATATTCATGATTGTGATGAAATCTCTATTTTGGCATCCCAAATTACTACTATATCAAAGAAGATTGATTAAATTGGAGTCTACTATTCTCAAACACCCTCAGTGTTAAAGGAAAATTCACTAGAACAGATAATTAATACTCAATAACCTTATGAAACTCTAAATCTTATAAATAATAGAACTAATAATCTCTATTCTAATTATTATAATCCTAGATGGAAAAATTACTCTAATCTTAGTTGGAATATTTATAACAATTCGGTGAACCCCTCAAGAAATTCAAATAACCAAGAAAATTCTAATTATAGACCTTATTATCCTCCTGGATTTAATAGTAACTCACAAGTTAAGATGAAGAGTTGTCTATGG